TCTTAATGCTTCCATAGATTCAATCGCACATATATCTCCTCACCGAAGAGAAAGGATGAATCGCGATATGCAGAAAAGATTAACTAATAGAGAATTCAATCGAGAGAGATAGAACTAGCACACAACCTTTGCTGAGATGATTTCTTCCAATAAATCCTTTGCTGAGATGATTTCTTCCAATGAATTCTTCCACGGATTTGAACTGGGGCCCCAATTGAATCTGAAGCTCATCTATTTCAATGTATATGGTGATTTACCATATATTTTTAATTTTAATTTTATACATAAAAGAATTTTTATTAATCTAAAAAAGGTTTAGTAATCTGCACCTCCATTCCTTCTACTGATCTCCAACACTAATGGCATTAATGGAAATAACCAGATTACATATGTATTCCTCCAGTTACATTTGCTAACTAATGGAGTTACATCTTTTTATGAATGATTTACATCTTCATGTGAATGAGTTACATCTTTTTATGAACGGGTTACATTTTCTGAAGTGCAAGTTACATCTTCTGAAGCGTGACTTACATTAAGATTTGTCTTAATAAGTTACATTTTGTAAACACCTAAGTTACATTTGCCATCAATGCGAGTTACATTTGTAATAACATGAGTTACATTAAAAAATCAACTCCTGCTGAAACAAAAAAAATGATCTTTTCTAAAAAATTATTTTTTATGGCCATGATATTAAAAACAAAACATATTCACGTTTTTACCTAAAATTATTTCTTTTCATTGTTTAAATTGAAATCAATATTTGACAAGTTACATTTTGGATGAGCTTGAGTTACATTGATCAATAATGTGAGTTACATTTCATTACACACGAGTTACATCACATTTCGTTCCTGAACAATGAAAAATGAAAAAAAAAAAAAGGTTACTGTTCACGCACGTGAACAGTAACACACGAATTTTTAGGTTGGAGCAGCATGTTTCCAACGACGCCGTTTTGAGCACATGAGCATAATGCTCATGCTGCGCCGGTTGTAGCATATACGCACTGAATGATACATGTTTTAAAATGGATCACATACCTTCTCAAACAATGTATTTTTATTATACAAGGAAAATGATTGCATCCCTACAGTTTACATGCAAATATGCAAATAATCAAACGCCCTCTAAATGCTACATTTTGCAAGTAAGAAAAAGTATATCAATTACTCATATAGTCACACTCGTAGTTAGCTTTACTGATAAATCTTTTTGTTCATTTTTATCTGTTTATTAATAATCTTTCACATAACTTTACGTTCAAACATTATTAATCATATTACTAGAAAAATAAAATTGATGATCACTTTTTTTGTGTTAATTGATGATCACTTTTAATAATCATTATATTATAGTCATTTTTAATTTCATTTAATATTGTCATTGTTCGTAAACCATGTCAACGATTTTGCCCTTAGTTTTAATGTACTACGTATATATTATCACCATTGGACATTATCAAATTTGTGTAAAATGTGAAATAAAAAAAATTATGTGATTGAAATAACCAATTATATGCATATGAGTAGATAAAATTAAATAAGAAAATTATGCAAAGAAATTAGTAGAATAATAAATTATTTACCCATTTTTTTAAAGTAAATTATTTACCCGTTAGAAAATTGGCAGAGTTAATTAGAAAATTGGCAATTTCTCTCTAAAAAATTAGATTGAATGGTTGATCATAGAACCTAATTTTGACATCGATCAATGTATAGTGGAGTGTTTTGTATACACAATTAGATTGAACGAAAATCCTATTGTTACACAAAATCCATACACACACATACACACTATAAATAACCCAAAAAAAATTTACCCCCCTTTCCCTACCTCAGCCAATTTCACACGTGCACACATCCAAAAAATCTCTCCCACTCCCAAAAAAATCTCCCGCATCCCACCACCACCCCTCACGCATCCCACCTGCCCCTTCGCCCATCACACTTCCCAAACCCCGTCGCCAACCTTCTCCCTTCGACGAAGGGTTCCTCGCCGGCGCCAACCATCCACGAACTGTCGCCGCCGCTAACCATCCACGAACCCTCGACGCCGCTAACCATCCACGAACCCTCGTCGCCGCTAACCCTCCACCCTCGTCGCCGCTAACCCTCCAAGCACAGTCGTCGCCATGAACCCTCCTCCCGCCAACCTCCGTTTCAGTTGACAATGGTCCGAACCCCGCTATCAACCATGGCTGAAAGGTATGTATCCTTGTCCTTAGTTTTTGATTTTTTTTTACACTTTTAGGCTATTTGATGATATTAAATTGGATTTTGAAGAATATGTATTGTCTGTGTAAGGTTGATTTTATGCTTCTATGATTGTCTGTATCTGTGTACATATGTCTGTGTGCCTCATTGCGATGTCTGTACTTGTACACAATGACCAATTGGCTCTCTGGCTGAGTTTGTCTGTGAAGTTCTTTTATGTGTCTGTAATCCTCCACATATGTCTGTGTGCATAATATTAAGGGAGAATTTGACTTTGCACCCCATGTTTTAGGCCATATTAGACTTTGCACCCCATATTCAAAATCATTAATATTTGCACCCCATTAGCTCAAAAATTGTGAAGGAGTGGGGTGCAAAGTCAAATGATTATATAGTGAAATAGGGTGCAAATATTAATGATTTTGAAAATGGGGTGCAAAGTCCAATATTAACCAAAACATGGGGTGCAAAGTCAAATTCTCCCTAATATTAATGTCTGTACTTGTACACAACGATATAAGAGTAAAACAGGTTTTGTTGAAGGAAAGTTTTTAAAAAAGAATTCACAGCCAGCCATACTTACCTTCAACTCTCTAGTCATAATCAAGAAAAAAAGTGGTGTTGTCTTTTTTCCCACTTAATACCATCTAATTGCATTTATGTTGAGCTTAACCCCACTTAATCCTAATCTAAAAGCTAGATTCCACTTAAAACCATCTAGTATAGCAGCCAGCATGTAATTGATTATATACACTTGTACTTATATACACTAGATAGGCAAAAAACCATGGTATGTCTGTATAGCAGTCAGCATCTAACTTTTAGGATTGACTTCATTAGAGTACTCAGCCCAATAAATAACTGGGGGGTATGTCTGTATCTAACTCAATACTTGTCTGTGTGACTTAACATATGTCTGTTTGCTTATGACTTATTCCTTCCAATCACAGGGCACTTGAACTTAAGATTCCATTGAGCAAGCATTTCCCTGCACAGTATTCTATGTGTTCTGACTACAAATGTGCGAGGAAGTGCATTACCGACATGTTGTCTAAGAAAGAATTGTCAACATTCCGGAACACACCGTGGGGTCACCTTTTGGATATACCGGACATTCAGTTTTGTGCCCAAATTGTGCACATGTTGCTCTTACGCCTTGTGAAGCAACAGCGTGAAGATGAGCTGTGGTTCAATGTGGAGGGTAAAATTGTAGAATTCACATACAATGATTTCTGCCGCATTACCGGATTACCAGTGGCAGCCCCCAGACCTGTCGTGGCCGAAGAAGTTGAAGAAAATTCTGATGAACAGGCTGAAGAAGTGGAAGAACCTGGGGAGGTTGCTACCACATACTTTAAAGGATCTTTGGATATCACTTACTTGCAGTTGAAGGAGAGGGTTCAAATGGTGCGTCCTACTAGAAAAGGCAGAGCGATGCTAGGTGTGAAGCTTGCATCCTTGTACATGATTGAGAACGTATTGCTTGGAAGAGACAGGTCAACAAGGATTAGCAGGAGGTCTATTCAGCTGGTAATTGACTTTGAGGAGTTCAAGAAGGAGCCGTGGTCCAGAGACGCTTACCATTCGCTGGTAACCGATTTAAAGAAGCTTCTTGATGGCCAGGAACAGAAGTTTTTTGACAATAAAGCTAACAACCCTGATTACAAAAATGCAAAGTTCTCGGTCTACGGTTGCCCATTGGTCCTACAGGTATGATTCATATTTACTTTGTATCATTTTTTACTGTAATCTACAAGTATTGTCTGCCACAGACAATACTTGACCTTCCCAGACATTTCTATTCATGTTACACACACTTATTATCCTTCCCAAACAGCATATAATAGCTCACAGACAAAAGTGTCCTTCCCAGACATGTTTTTAACTGCTCACAAACAATACATGTCCTTCCCAGAATTTATTTAGTAGCTCACAGACAATACATTTCCTTCCCAGATATGTTTATGATCTGTGTTCCTGAATATTTCTTTCTTGACTTATACTTCTTTTATTTAGGTGTGGGCATATGAAAAGTTACCTAATTTTGGGGAACATTTTGGCACACGTGTTGGTAATCATGAAGTCCCAATATTGAATTGGTCATGTCATGGGAAATTTCGGGCCTCTACGATACGGAAAATTTGCTTTGCTAATGTGAAGTCTTCTTTCTTTATCATTCTTATTATAATTGTCCCCTAATATACTTCGTATATATTTATCATACTAAGTCATGTTTTTGTATTCAAAGGAGGTGCAACAAATGTGTGTGAACATTGAAGAAATCAAAACAAGTCTTCAAAGGCTGGAGAAAAGGGTGGATGAGCAGTTTGGTGGAGTAAAAGACCTGCTGCTTCAGGTTATTGATAAAGTCAACATTGCTTTACAGGAAAAGGTATAAATTGTTATGATATGTCTGTGTTGTGATTTTCTGTTGTCTGTATTAAGTAAATTCTTGTTCGTATGTACTCTTACTGTATACTTTGCTGTTGGTTTGTAAGGGGGGTCCATCTGCCCCAAGTCATCATGAAAAAGACACAGAAGTTTGTGCACCACATGGTGAAGTTCAAAATATGTCTACACATGGTGTTGACAATGCTGGGACCGTGGTATGTAGTTTTCTACCTTACGGGTTTTTATTTTATACTATGAGGAAAATGTATAACATTTAATTGTCTGTGTGCTATTTTAAGTGTCTGTATGTAGCCATGTATTATGACTACGTACATATCGTCTTGTCTATGTTTAACTAATAAATGTCTGTATAAATAATGGTTAGGGTGAAGGAGATAATTATGTTCCTGTTATTCCTGAAGATCAAAATATGTTTACTGAGCCTATTGCAACTGAGGTATGTTTTTGGATAATCTTGGGTTTGGGTTTTAATAATTGCAAATTAAGTTGTTGAAGACCTACTAAAAAATGTTATTGTCGTGTGGAGTTTATAGTGTCTGTATTTAGCAAAGTTTTGTCTGTATAACTCTTTCGTGTTATCTGTGTCAATGTGATATGTGACTGAGATATGTCTATGATTTACCAATTGTTAGGCTGAAGAAGATAACTCCAACGATGTTGTTGGTGAACTACAAAAGGGACTACAAACTGATCCTGTAATGAATGTTGTGGCTGAGGTATCTTCAATGATACATTCATATCATTTATTCTTTCAAAAATATTTGTTGGTCATGATTGTTTTGGGTAATATAACTTTTCCTTTATTTCAAAGTTGAAGGAGGGTACCGAAGAAGAACACATGTATGAGGACTGTCCCACTCCCACAGATCTTTTGATCTCCTTGAATGAGGTTCACATTGTCATTTGTAAAAATTGTTTATATTCACAGACAGTATGTATATCACACATACATTAGACATTACGTGCACAGGCATAGTAAACTTGTCCTCACAGACATTTATTTGTGTGTGCGTATATATGATCCCTAGTTTTTAATGTTTTGTGCAGGTGGGAGATGACTCTGCTTTGACACCCCACGCTCCTTTTGCAAACTTGGATTGGGACCTTGGTGATGAAGTTGGAACCGGCGGTGTAGACATGATGGCCCTCGAAGAAGCTACTATGAAAGAAGTGAGGAAGAGAAAGAGGTTGCCATCAAAGTACATTTGCAGCCCATTCATAGCTCCCGCCGCAAAGAGGGCTAAGGTTGGAGGCACCAATACCCGAGCTCTACCACAACAAAGTGATGAAGAATGTCAATCCTTCAAGGCATGGGTGGAGGAAGATGATGAGGTTGAACCGTGCGTAATTGAGATAGCTATCCCATCATCTTACCCGACAAATAGGGCCTTCTTCCGAGAACTGATTGATGAAACCGGATGGCTAAGCAGCCAGGTGAGTGAATATATGGACTGTTTCATTTTACAATATTTTAGTTCAATGGTTTTTTTTAGGCTTTGATAAAAAAAAATTTAGCATTTGGATGCACTTGTTCTTCTGTTTCGCGAATGCATACACGCCGAGGCCTATGAACTCTTGAGTCCTTTGTTCGCGGTAAGTGATTAAAAGTTTAAATTGTGTCTGTGCTTTTGAACTTCACTTGGTTGTGCATTGATAAAGTATTGTCTGTGTAAGACTTGTTATGTCTGTAATTTTGTTTTTGGTGTAGTACCAACTTTTACGGAAGAATATAGATGACGATTCACAATGGAGTGGGGATCGATTGCTTAACAAAATGGACTGGAGCCGGTATGATAAGGTTTGTCTCCAAAATAATAAAAATATTAAGTCATTTTATATATAAAATATAGAGAACAAGGCTAGAATACATACTATGTTCACTAATATCTTAACTACTTTATTGCATGTGCAGGTGTTCATGCAATTGCACAGTGATGGAAAACACTGGGTGCTGTCTGAAATTGACCTTGTCAATAGAATCGTACGGGTATACGATTCTATGAAGACCCGTAGGTTAGTTGGATCTGTGAGACTGTTGTGTGTGAGACTTCCACACCTGTTTCGAGTCATAAAATGCAACCCTGCTCTAAGCGCCACAGCAAATTCACAGCCTTGGAGAGCGGAGGCAGTGGACGATGTTCCACAACAGCACCCCGGGTACATTCATGTGCTGTGGATATTATTTTGTCTGTACATACACAAATATAGTTTGTCTGTGCATGTAAATGTAATGTCTGTATTAATTATTTTGTGTCCAGGTCCGGTGTTTGCGGCGTCATGGTTATGGCCTTTGCCAAAGCACTCTTACAGAAGTTGCCATTGCTGCCCGAGTGTGCGTATGAGAACATGGCAGCGAAAAGATGTGAATTCGCAATGAGGCTGTGGAGTTTGAGGAAGCGATCGAGTTAGACATGATTATTGGAGGATGTGTTTGGGTGTAAAACATTTATTTAACATTACTGTATACATATTATTTTGCTCAATTTTTGCCTGCATGAATTTGGTTGTTAAATGTAGGAGGTTGTACAATGTTACACTATCAATGTTGTACAATGTCCTAGAATGTACTCCCAAGGATCACTAGAATTGGTGGCATACACTTACTTTTGGTTTTTGTGGCAACATATATATACGAAGGATGCTTTTGCTTGTCAAGAAGAAAAACTTTGTGTATGCTGTTATACGATTTTGTCTGTGATTTGTGTGTTGTTATCTGTGATTAATAACTAGTTTATGTAATTAATAACAACTATGTTCAATGTTTAGAGAAAATTGGTATCATTTCGCCAAAAATAAATAACTATTGAAATTTGTATAAGAGAGGGCAATAAAATAATTCACGTTTTTTAGAAATTATTACTCCATACGATTTTGTATAAGAGAGGGCAACAAAGCCTTCTGATTGTGTAATGTGTTTGTGCTGTAATACGATTTTGTCTGTGATTTGTGTCGTACTTGTCTGTAATAAATAAAAGTAATCCAAAGTACATAAGTGAGTAATGTTAAATTCAATAACTTTTATGTAATTTCATATTCCACTAATTTATTAAATTTAAAAATAAGTTTGTAACATTCTTCTACTTTATGTGATTAAATTACTTTTATGTGAAAAACTTTACTTGTTTTATACTGCGTAGTTGTTTAAATAGTAGTATATGTAACTACAGTTGTCTAATGTGTTTGTGCGGTAATACGATTTTGTCTGTGATTTGTGTCCTACTTGTCTGTGATTTGTGTTTCAAAAACAGACATTACAAAAAAATACATTTCTGAAACACACAAAAAATTGCCCACAAACACGTCTTTGTTTGTGAAGACCAAAAAGTTTGTTTGTGACGTATTACATAAATGTCTGTGAACAAATATGCATGCACATTTACATCAAACTCAGATTTAAATCTAAACCACTATAGTTCATCATGTCATTACGATCTTCCTATGTATTGCCATGGTCAGCGCTACCTTGTGGGGCACTTCCAATGTCATTCCTGGCCCCCGATTTCTTTTCCCCCTTCTCCAATGGTCCTTTTTGACGGTTTTTCCTCAGAGCACCCTTGCGCTTTACACACTTAGGATCTCCTATGTTTTTTGGAACCTCACATTGCACACGACTACTCGGTTGTGGGATAGATGTTCGGTTGCCACATATGGAAGACTGAGGAGCTTGGGGAGGAGTATATGTCGACAATTGAATCTCCAACCAATTAAGAACACTTTGGTACTTATCTTCATCATCCGCAATCATATTTGCAAGTGATTCAAAAGTCTTGCACAACTTATTAAATCGTTCTTGCTCCACCGTTGTGATCCAACCATCATAATTTATTTTCACCTTTGTGTAAGCTCTTTTAACATCTTTCCTCCATCTTTGCAATAGGTAAATCTCGGGTAAGAAATGCAATCCAAGTCGACGTAAGACCACAATCAAGTGTCTACAGACAATACCCCTAAATTCAAACAAATGACAACTATATATTCCAAATGTAGTTAATGGGTCATATTCAACAACAAAGTTAATGGTCTTTCGAAACCCATTTATCTTTCGGACCTCCTTAACATGAAATTTTCTATCTCCTTCGCTTTGTATTAGATCACAATACAAAAGACCTACAAGTTCATCTTGAAACTCCTTAAACTTAGCTAGGGTGTAAATTTCTTGGACTTGTTCTTCCATTTCAAATGATGAAACACAAGGAATTGTTTTTGCAAACGAACTAGCATCGGCGTGAAATTCTTTTTCTACCTTCTTTCGTAATGCACGTCCGTATTGCTCAACGAATTCTTTAAGACTAGTTTTGGAATGCACAAAGTCATCGAAAAAAGCATTGATACTTTCACTTCGTTGAGTGGTAGACATACTCGCCTAGAAAAATGTCTTTAAGAAGCATGGCACCCACCGGTGTCTTTCATTGTACATCACTACAAGCCATTCATGATCTTGTAGGGAATACCTGAAATAACATTAAAAATATATATGAAGTAAAGATACAATGTTTGCTCACAGACACTTTTGTGTCTGTGGTGTACATTTTGTATGCCTGTGACGAACACATACATTTATTTCACAGACAAAAACCTTCTGGAATGGGTCATAGTTTTAAGGAAATAAAGGGTACCTTTGTATCATGTCATTCCAACTTTGCTCAAATTGTGGAATAAATTGTGAGTCATAAATGGATTCATGAATAGCATCCAAGATTTCTTTTTTTTCTGTAATGCCTCCCATTTTCTCCGGTACCTTTTTCATAATATGCCATAGGCACCATCGGTGTCTTGTATTTGGAAAAACAATTTGGATGGCGTTTTGCATTGCACAGTCTTGATCCGTAATAATGCCCATCGGAGCACGTCCTTCCATACAGTCAAGTCATGCTTTGAATAGCCATACGAATGTTTGTGTATCTTCATTAGAGATTAATCCGCAACCTAGCAAACTTGATTGACCGTGGTGATTTACACCTACAAATGGTGCAAAAGGCATGTCATACCGATTCGTGAGGTAGGTTGTGTCAAAGGTTATCACATCTCCAAAGTCTTTGTATGCATATCTACATCGACTGTCAGCCCAAAACACATTACGCAATCGGGACTCGTCAACTAAGTCAAGGACATAGAAAAATCCGGGGCTTTGAGTTTGCATTGTAGAAAAAAACTCTTGAAGTGCCATGGCATCACCACTCCCTAACCTAAGTTGTCTTACCTTTTCAATGTAGTTCCTGCAATCTTTTTCAATAAAAGGAAGTTGATCATACCCACCGGCTTCAACAACGGCTGCATTGAAGGTTTTATGAAGTCGTATTCCGGCCACATCGTTGATTGCAACTTGCCTCATTGCTTGGGGAGTCAAAGTCCTATAGCACCGGAATAGGCGAGCCTTAGTTGGACTCATGGCATGGGTATGCTCAAGACAGATTTTTGAAATTTCCCAACGTCCCGCATAATTTGTGCGTGCTCGTATTTTTGCTCCACATCCCATTTGCATTGAAGGTTGAGGCTTCAATTGATTTTTTGACCCAGTAGATCTACTACCGGCATGAGAGCACTCTAGTAACACTCCAACTATATCTACTCCATTTTTGTGTTTCGTGGTACTCCTAGTTCTTACGGGAAATCCTAAACGCTTCCCATATGCCTTGTAGAAATTATACACCGCTTCTTTGCTATCAAATTCCATACCGACATCCAGAGCTTGTATAGAACCATCATCACTCTCATTTTGCTTAATTGCTCTATCTGATCGACATTCACGTAATTCAACGATTAAACAATGTGTCCATGTCAACATGCAATGAGGGAAGTATATTTACGCACACAGGCAGAGGTATATTTATGCACAGACAGAAGCATATATACACACAGACAGAGGAATATTGAAACACAGACATTGGAAACGGCAGTATATTGACACAGACATTACAAACAGAAGTGTACTTGCGCAAAGGCCGTGGTATATTTACGCACAGACATAAGTATATTTACTCATAGACAAAAGTATAAATGGACACAGACATTTAAACTCAATGTACACAGACATAATGAAACTTATAACATTTTGAACAAAGAATTTATATACACTTTACGCACAGACATAAGTGTATTTAGTAACAGACAATTTTTGTACACTACACAAACACAAATAATTGTCTGTGAAGAACAAACATATATTTAAGTTCAAAGCAATGAAACCAACAACACAAACTCATACCAAGCTCAGGGACGTCGTCCATGGCCGGTTCTCCGTCAAGTTCAGCCGCCGCCTCTGGTTGTCCGTCATGTTCAGCCGTGGTGGCCGCCGCCGGTTCTCGCTCACCTTCATCCTCCACCGGAAAATCTCCTTCACGTCGACAACCACCGGTTGTTTCGGCCCAATCAGCCCAAAAATCGTCCACCGTAGTATCAATGATAGTTTCATTCACAAAGCCAGGAAAATCCATTTTTTTGGATAGTTGTTCTGCTGCGGGTAAGAAAAAACGACGAAGAGGGGAGGGAGGGAGGGAGCTGCGGGAATAGAGGGAAGGGGAGGGGAAAGAAATCGCACGTGAGGGAGGGGTAAAAAAAATGGTAATTTTTGGGCCTATTTATAGTGTGTAGGTGTGTGTACCAAATGTGTGTACCCCAAGCCCAATTGTTAGATTGAATGGTTGATCATAGAACCTAATTTTGTCGTGTACACAAAATATGTACATACATCTGCCTTATTTATTTGTGACAGATAAAGTTTATGTGATTATTTGTAACAGATAAAGTTTATGTGAAAGACAACATGTGTATAGTATATGCGGTTATTGACTCATTGCAGTGTTCGAGGTCTATTAAAAGTCAACTCTACTAAATTAGAGTTGTCTCATCCGGAATTCACACAGACAAAAACAGAATCAAACCAGCTTCCTTCGCAGCAGTGTCTGCAAATTTGATCCGTCCACCTAGATCTCCTCCTCACTCAATATCTGAATCTGAGCTTCGTCGCAGCTCCAATGGATTCCTCTGACGAAGAGGGAGAGGAATACCTCTTTAAAATAGTGATCATCGGCGACTCTGCTGTCGGGAAATCCAATCTGCTCTCCCGCTATGCCCGGGACGAGTTCAACCACAACTCCAAGACCACAATTGGAGTAGAGTTCCAAACCCAGACGCTTGAAATCGACGGCAAAGAAGTGAAGGCCCAGATTTGGGACACCGCCGGCCAAGAGCGGTTCCGCGCCGTTACTTCAGCTTACTACCGCGGCGCGCTCGGCGCGCTCGTCGTCTATGACATTAGCCGCCGTACTACCTTCGATAGTATCCCTCGTTGGCTCGAGGAGCTTCAAAGTATGTTTTCATTTCCCGTTTCTTATTTCTTTGATGTTTAAAAATTTAGCAATTTAGTTGCCGCCGGCCTGCATATCTGCCGAAAAAAGGTTTCTAGTGTGAGTCTATTTGCTGGGTTAGGCTTCAATTGAATATTTTTTGCTATGAAGATTTGATAATAGCCTTCAGATTTGATCTGATTAGTAATCACTGATTACTGTGGCCTTCAGATTTGATCTGATTAGTTAATAGTAATCACTGATTACTATGGCCTTCAGATTTGTTGATTCTTTATTCTTAGAAATATTTTTCCCATATCAATTAAATACAATAAAACCTTAATCCCATATCAATTAAATATAAAACAATAAAATCTATCATATAAGATTATGTTCTACCCTTTCCATCACTGACCTTGCATGAGACCCAACTAGTTCAGAATGTGGACTACTCATTATCTGGGGGTTACCTGCTCATGGTCTGTTTAATCCATTTCTCCAGTCTCAAGTCGTAGTCGGTTTGATTTAATGAGATGTATTAAGTATTTGACCCTATACGTGGAACCCAGAATCTCAATATTTTCTTATGATAACAATTAATGTGTGGTGGCAATTTGATTTTCTTGAGGGAATGACCAATGGGGATCATCAAGTTTGGGATGCAATCATGCAATCCATTTTTTATTGTTTTATTATTCAACTAATGATCAATGCACTGAGGTTTCAACTTATTATTGTTTTACTGTAGTGTGCTTAACATGACCCTTGGAACTCTTCCTCTTTAGTTTTACTAAGATCAGTAAAAAGTGGCATATGCAAGAAAACTGCAGTGTTATTGCTAATTGATACAGCCTTGGTTTAAATTCAATGCACTGAGGTTTCTTGAAATAGAAATAACGAAAGATAAAGAGTTCTTATTTAGGGAATTTATCTTGGATATAGCCAGTATTCTAGCAAGATATAGAGTGTGTAGGTGAAATGTCCCTTACACCATTGTACTACCCCAAGAGTAAAGGTTTTTTTTTGTCATTGACTTTGACACACTGCTGACTAAATGGGGGGTATGGACATTTATTTTCCATGGAAGAGTTTGATTTGATTGTCTGCCCACCCTGGGAAAACTAGTTAACTACTCCGTATATCTTACTTGAAAGCATTCAAAGTAAATGGGGAAAAGGTGCATTTTGTCCCTTAGGCTCCCTCATTAGGTATTTAGGTGCATATATTGGACACTTAAGTATTTTTTGTGGAGCAAATTCAAATAAAATTTAAGTGCGGGTTTTTACTGGAAGTTTTTTTATTTCCTTTCTTCGTGGCACTAATAAACTAAAGAGTAAGTTTTGTTGCAAATTGCCAAATTATATAACATATAATGTTATATACTACGTAATAAAAAGATACCCCGCTAAATTCTAGTGACTGAAACACCATACAACTAAAACCTGTACATCCATGATTAAATTAAGTGTCACTATTTTTGAAAATCAAATTAGATGCCCTCATCATTGGATGTTCATGTGTTTGATGATGACAACTCTACTACCAAACATGAAACACATTTTGAACAATCAAACAATATAATTTAGTAGAACGATTATCATTTTCTCGAAAACTGAACATTAATAAAAGTAGCCATTTTCAGGTGGGGTTTCATCGGATTTTAGCAATCACTCAGTGTGAGTTCATTAAAAGCTTATATGGAAAATTAGTCTGTTGATTTTTTTTTATCTGTTAATGAATTCGTATAACTAATTTGGTTGCAGCAATTAGTTTTGTGAGAGAATCTTTGGATTTTTATCAATTGAGTTTTCTAGACTTTATAAATCTTGACATGTTTGTCCCGGACATTTCCTACAGATTAAATCTGTAAGAAATTCTGCTGGAAATGTAGTACTTTTTCAAAGTGAATTCACTAACCTCATATTCATATCATGTGCAATATGGTTTGTGGACTTCAGGATTTAGATAATTCATTTTTACTTGCAAGTTAAATAATCCTATTAATATTCTTCCACTTGCTTATTTACTAAAACTATTTGCAACTTTTAATTAACGCAACGATAAAACATAACCGTCCTCAAGGTCTTTGCTGAGTAGCGAAGATCTTGAGGTCAAGGAAAGGCTTAACTGGCCACACATACGGAGGGACAATACTTTATCTCCAAAAATAAGCTAGCTATATGGTTTGTCCATCAACTCTCTTTATGGTTTTTCCATCAAAACTCTTTATGGTTTGTCCGTCTCTAAGGAGTTCTAATAATCTTTTGAGGGATATTTGTCATTGTGAATCAATATGTGTCATACATTTTGAAAGCATATTAATAAACAATATGCTACCTCTGTTTCTTAATTTGTTAAAGCGTTTGACTTTTACACCGTTCATATACTCTACTTTGACTATATCTTCTTTATTCATGTATTAGAAAGTTATATTTTTGTTTTTAAATTTTCAATGTAAATTTCAAAGCATGGACTTTTACAATTTTTTACTAAACCAATTGAGCATACTATTGATAACCATCATGCATCAGAAAATGTGAAAAGTCCAACTCTTGCAACAAAATAAGGAAAGAGGAACTATTTGACAAATTTAATGCTTAGAACACGAAGAACATAATTTCTTGGGTATTCATGTTAGCCAATCTCAAATTCTTTTGGGAATAAGGCTTAGATGTTGTTTTTTGTATTAGGGCTGTTAACGAGCCAAGCCCAGCCCGAACACCTAAAGCTCGAGTTCGGCTCGATAAGGAATTAATGGTGTTCGGATTTGAGCTCGAAGCTCGGCGAGCTTTACAAATGAGGCTCGTGTTTGGCTCGATAGGCGTTCGATGTTCGAACCGAGCGCTCGATAAGCTCGATAAATATGATTGAATTTAAAATTTTAGGTGATCCTCGTTAATAGGCTCGTGCTCGAATGATTCGACAAATATTCGGTTCGTTAGTAAACATATTTAGATTCATAAAATCATACTAATTATATTTAAAATTTGATTATATATATATTATATTTATAATTTCAGGGTGTTCGATAGGCTTGAGTTCGAACCGAGCCGAATACTACTATGTTCGAGCTCGGCTCAATTAATTTTTCGAACTTAAAACTCAGCTCGGGCTCGAGTTCGAAAGCTCGTTAAGCTTGGCTCGTTAGGTTTGAAACCGAGCTCGAACTCAAATAGTTTGATAAAAGCTCGGTTCGTTAACCCCCTTAGTTTGTATACGTATTGAAAATTCTGTATATTGTTGCAGGAATAGTAAGACCCTAAATTAGATTCATCCACTAATCCCGATACCAAAATACCTTCTAAGAAACTTATGCCAAATTAATGACTCAATTCTTTTCCTTTTCCGATGCTAGTACACATCAATTTAGAACCTGTTGGTAACCTCCATTTCCAGCTTATCAGCCTTAACAGCCAAGTTTTTTTTTAATCAAAGACGTAGTGTTTGTTTACGTGTGGTAGATTGTGCAATAATTAAAACAAGTAAGGTTAGAGTTACTTTTGTGGCTGAGTTGGTTGAAGTTATTGTAGACCTTTTTAGCTATTTTTCATCTATTTTTTTCTATATTTTATTAGTAAAATATATTTTAAATATAATATTTTCATAATTCAGGGCGAAGAGTTCCATAAATTTCAGAATCAAATCCTATGGAGTTGTGCAATACAGATTGTGAACCACATGATTCTTTTCCCTTTTAGATAAGAGCATGTGTTCACATAGATTTATTTTACAAATCCAAGTGTACCTAATTGTCCAATCCATATGCAAATCATATTAACAACTATGATTGAGGACTTTTGTTCACTTAGATTTATTTCTTTCCTAGTTCAAATTTGAACAGACTTGATCAAACTAGACCAAACTTTAATAGACCAGGCCAGACATAAAAAAAAATAGACCATGCCCATACTAGATTTTTTATAACAATAAAATATCAGTAGGTATAATATAAAATCAGACGAGATCTGATCAAACCAGACTTAAATAGACCATCTAGTAAGTTTCAGTCCAAATAAAGAGGCCTTTGGCCTAAATTTATCTATTCTGGTTGTCTATTCAAGTCTTGGCTAACTGAAACAAGTCCAAGTGAATATGCCCGATTAAGCCTAAAAAAAGAGCACACAAACAAGATTGGTCTAGTCCAACATAGAAATTCACATATAAGGCCTTCTCTTACATTATAGGATGTAGACTTTAGTTAGTTGACTTAATAGTTATTACACACTGCTCATTGTTCGATGGCTAGATGTGCTCAGTGCGAGCTGCCGCACACTAATTTTTATATCCCTGTTTCAAATTACTCCCAATGCTTCTCTTCTTATTGCTGAAAGTTTGTGCTTAAGAACAAGGGTTGTCATGATGCAGCACATTCTGATGCAACCATTGCAAGGATGCTTGTTGGCAACAAATTTGATTTGGAAGATATCAGGGATGTGAGTGTGCAAGAGGGGAAAAGCCTGGCAGAAGCCGAAGGGTTGTACTTTATGGAGACATCTGCTCTGAACTCACAAAATGTGAAGGAGGCTTTTGAGATTGTTATCCGAGAGATATATAATAGAGTTAGCAGAAAGGTTTTGAACTCCGATTCTTTTAAGAACGAGGTATCTGTTAACCGAGTTAACCTTGTCAGTAATGGCTCCTTGGATGCATCTAATAAGCAAAATCAAGGCTATTCTTGTTGCTCCAGGTAATCCTAGCTGGGTTTCTATTCTCCAACAACCATTCATTTCTACGCGTATGAACCAGTGCTTGAGTGGTACAACTGGATTAGATTGGTTACCAATTTATGGCGTAGTGGTTTGGTTGGTCTTTGTCTGATCATTTGTTTAATTATATTTGTTATTTGCAAGATATCCTACAGTTATGTTACACATGACAAGGTCATTTATATATACAAGTCATAAAGATGATTTAATAGTGGTAGTGTTGTAGTACAATGTTTTGTTTTCTTTTGTTTCATTTTTCTTGTATGAATGAATTCAGCATCAATATATATATCCTGTAATTGAACGCTGATATTGCTCCGTTAAGGTTCCTGGACTCATTGAAATTGTCCAAAAGATTTTGTATGGATTAGTGTTGATGAAACTGCATGAGTTGGTGAAGTCTTGGTTGTAGGCCTGATCCTCTTTGTTAGAGTCGAGTCAGTCAACTATCTTTGCTATGCAGTGTGTAATGCATGCACGTACGATGAAAATTTCAATCTATGAGTGTTATATTTAGACGATGATAGATCAATCATCATTTTGTACTAGGGTTCAACATCATTGCGTTTCTATAGACCAAGTCACCAAGATTGGTTCTTTCAATGTTTCGTCCGACACCAAACTGAAATTCCAGTATAGATCGCAATGGGGATTGATAGCTGGGATAAGGATGTTTGTAATGTGTATTTTACAACTGTCGAACTCTAGTCTAGTTTGTTTAAGTCTGATATAGTATGGCCTGAACTCTGACGTAGTCTTATATTGAAATAGGTTTGAATTTAACCATTTCAAGTGTGGTTTCAATTTGTTAAGTAAAGAAATACCTAGTAATCTATAAATCTTGTTTCGAACCGTCCACGTTTAGGATAACAACATATTGCCAGTTCTTACTATACCAGGATTGAACTGACATTCAAATCCAGTTAAGATCACAATTTTTTGGCAACCGGAACTGGTTGGTCTATATAACTGGTTGGTCAATACAAACTAAAATTAATCATATACTATCGTATAAAGGTATTTTACAAGTCATTTTTTTCTATCATTAACAAATAACATGATAAAAATATGATTTAAATATGTTTTTAGTCCTTTCAAATATACTACAACTTATTTTATGTTCTTGTAAAATTATTAGTTGTTGTTTTCCATCCCTCGAACTTATCTTGGGTTTTTAGTCCATCACCAATAATAGCAACCTGCGTTTGACAATGAAACAACCCAGATTAATAGTCCATCACGTCAGTAACGATTGACATGTAGTAAATAATTTATTTGCTCACATTTTTGTATCCTATGATGGGGAGTGTTCTCCTAAGGTAGGCCTAAAACTTGTAAGTTTTAGGCCTCTTTCACTTGAGGTGCTTCCGGGTCGAATTTTTTAATGAATACTTGTGAGCATATTTTCCATGAAGTGTAGGTTATGTTTATCAAATTTCAATTTAAAATTCAACCGAGAAGTCAGTTAACTAAATTATTGACAAAAAATGCATGTTATACATATAAAAAACTGCCCAAATTTTAAAAAATTATTTAAGTGACTTCCCGATTAAATTTTAATTTGAATTTTGGCAGATATAATATACACTTTAGGGAGAACATTCTCACAAAGTTTCATAAAAAAATATTATCCCGAAAGCCCCTCAACTGAAAGAGGCCTAAAATTCCAACTTTTAAGCCTACCTTACATGAATATTTTCCCCTATGATTCCTCCCTGATAACTCACAAATTGATGTATGTCACAAAGTTTCTATCGTTTTCTAAAGATGTTTAATTTTTACTTGTAAAGAGTCAAAAAAAAAATGAATTCTAAGGGAATATTGTGAGTACCATATATCTTTAACTACCTTAATCAGTTAATTGCGGAATGAGTCGCATTGCTTTAACTTGAAAAGCTAGAAAAAGTTTATATACGGAGTATGAACTGCAACATTTCTTTGAGTGGCAGATGGACTTTTATTTAAATTATATATTTAAATAAGAGAATATATTTAAATTATATATTTAAATAAGAGAACAAGTAGGGAATCACTGTGGTTGTATTGGAATAATAAGGAATCAACTAACGGTAATATAATTTGTTTTATCATCTTTTACAGCAATGGGTGCAATCTTTGCATTAGAATCACGGGTATAAGGTCTACCACCGTTAGGATTGATTGAGTCACCATGATTTACAACCTCCCATGTGTTCTGTGGATCAGGCCGTCGGGGCACAGGGACCCTTGGGGATTGGGGATTCAACCTTTTGGACAAATAGAATCATAGGTTGGGCATTAGTAGGTAGGTTACAAACATAGTAGGGGGCAATCATTTCTACATTTTTTTTATCTTAATAATTTAAATAAAATTAGAATTTCGGGTACACCGGGACCTAGGTTGGCCTCCTAGGTTCCTAGCTACTAGCTAGGTCCCTGTTCAAGCCGGGACAAAGGTAAAAGGATTAGAATGCACTTCTGTTTAAGTCGGGACCTAGAATTTCTGGTAAGCTGGGAAAATAATTCAAAACAGATCCAAAACTTTGGGGATTAACAAATTAAAAAACTTTATAATCCAAAGAATTACTCCCTCCGTAACATTCATATCTTCCCACTTTCCTTTTTTGGACGTAACATTTATATCTTCCCATTTCTAAATCTTCCCATCATACACTCAATAATTTAAAAAATAATACACTACTACACCTACTTTTTTTGGATTTATCCTTCATTCCATCACATTATTTCACCATTTTCCCATCATACCCTCAATAATTCATACTCTATTTCACTATTCTTAATCTCACCCACTTTGAAAGTGGGAAGATATATCTGATAAGGAGGGAGTATAAGTAAAAATTTCGTATGTTTTGAACATGTTTTGAGAAACAAATAGTTAATCAACTCAGCATAGCTAACACATTATGATCATCATAACAAATTAAATTTTATGTCGAAAGGTACGTATGAAATTTACAAATCTCAATAGACAGTGTGAGACGAATCCTAATCTTGTCTTCGGATCTGAAACAATTGATGTTGATTAAGAATTACATAAATGATGGAGTGAAGCTCTTTTTGTGTGTAAAAAAAACCTTTATTACTATTATTATTAAGATCCTTATTAGTAAGTAGTCCCTTAATTTCTAGTGGCCTCCGGAGTAGAACTAGAACTCCATTGCTTTGCCTTCTCAAAACCATTCTTGTAATGACTGTAGTCATGGAAAGTCTGCTGGATTTCAGCTTGTGAATTCATCACAAAAGGACCATATTGAACGACTGGCTCGTGGAGTGGCTGCCCAGCCAGCAGGACAAACCTGAGCGGCTGGTTGGAAGTGGAGTTGTTCCACACACTCAGACCCTCCCCGGGACCCAAAACCAAGCAGTGATGAGCTGATGCAAGCGATGGTTTTGCATTTGGGATGCCGAAGCTGCCCTCTCCTTCGATGATATAAACGAAGGCGTTCCATGATGGCGGGATGCTTTGGTGATATTCAGATGCCGGTTTTAAAGTAAAATCGAGATACATTGTGGGAGTTCTTGTGTATACTGCGGATTTCACCCCCATTGCCTCTCCTGCTATCACCTTCACTTCAACCCCATTGCTTTCTGCTTTTGGAATGTTTTCACTCAGCAGTTCTTGATACTTCGGCTCAATCCTACCATCATAATAAGAGTAATCATGTCATAATCATAGTCACGAGGAAATATGTGTTTCAAAGAGTACTGCTACTGTCACATTCACAAGCTACCACGGTGCATTTAACACGGACGCTAACATTGTTGAGATAACTCGGGGTTGTATTATAAAATGTCTTAATATGTGCCACAAGATAAGTGCGAGTTAGAGCATATGAGCTGTAAGCCTGTAAGCCATTCTGCTCACTATTTATGTTTTACTCGGATCAAATTGTTATGGTTTAAACATGATAGGTTATAGTTTATGATTCAATATTAACATTTGACAATCATTCATAAAAGAAATAGTCAAAGACCTTATATATTGGACCATTGGTAACTGTTTTTAGATATATGGTGTAAAATGACTAAATATTTGGTTGGTCAACTTTGGTGGGAACTCAGCACCATTATTATATTGTATACACATGGACTCCAACTGTCCTTTGTAGACAAGTTTTTTTTCTTCAATGAATTGATTTCACCAAGTCAACTTTGATGATTAGCCCAACAATTGAAAACAAATGTGATTTTTCTCATTGAAGTTGGTGGCCAAAAGTGATCTTTATAGTAGCAAATATGGGATTAGCCACTAATAGCAACATGGATCTTACATTTTGTCCTTGGAGGCAAGATTTATCCATAGCTGCAACCCCTTTTGTATACCTTCTCCTGCAGGCATTTCAGAGTGAACTATACCTCTTCCTGCTGTCATCCACTGCATCAGCAAGAAACACTTAACAGTTCATAACTTTTCATTGACTTCAGGCTATGTTTGGATCTCCAAAAATGCAAGGGGAAGGAAAGAGAATGCTAATGAATAATGCAATTTTCTCATGTTTTGATCTACTTTGAAAAAGGAAAAGGAAATCAAAATATGGTTAAATATACACGTAGTAACTTTTTTTTACCATATGTTGATACTACTTACTCCGTAGTATTTACACAATACAAAAGTATAAATAACTACATAGATCATCATAGATAAATAAAATAATTCCAAACAAATATTAAAATAAATTTATTAAGTTTGAACAAAATTTTATTTTCCTCGCCATCTTCTTTACTCCAATGCTGCTTTAATACTTCTATTCCTGTTTTTTTTTCCCTTAGAATTTCTGTCGACAAAAGGATTCATAATGTCAAAAATCCAATCTTTTCATGTATATACCTGCACATCCCCGGTTCCTATTGTGCCTTTATGCCCAGAAAAATCTTTATGAGTGAAAGCTCCCTAGATAAAAAAAACGACAAAAGTTAGCAACATTTAGACATACAGATAGGTCTTTATATGATCAAATGCAGTTTGAAGTTCACAATCTACCTCTAACATATATGTGACAGTCTCAAAGCCTCTGTGTGGATGGTCTGGAAACCCAGCAGGTGATGAAACTGTTTGATCAAAACGGAGTTATCAAATGTTTCCAAAGCAGAAAAAAAGAACTAATTTAGAATCAAGAGAGGTGTACCTTCAAATTCATCCAGCATGAGGAATGGATCAAGGTTCTTCAATTCAGGCCTATAAACCAAATTTCCCAAACATTAAATAGCAACACAGCATGCTATATATTTTACCTTTATGATTTCTAGCTACTAACAAATGCAGTCACAACTCCTTTATGCTAGACAAAATGCCACATGGTTATGGTAACTTGAGTTGGATAGATTACTACATGAACTCAGGAACCAAAATCTCTACACCCTTCATTCTTGGACATATTAAAGATCAAGAAAATTA